TGAAGACTTTGTCGTGGTCGTTTACGGCTGTCAGCCAGGGACAGATTTCCTTTCAGCCGTTGGGATGGACCCAGGAATGTGGCCGCTGTGCACCGGGGAAGCAGCGGCCCAAATGTCCGGCTGAGCGCCAGCCCTGCGGGCAGGGAGGCCTGGGGCTGCGCGGTAGCTTCTGCTCTGCACCTGCAGGGCAGTGTGGCTTGGGGGGTCGGGGGAGCCGACCGAAGCCTCAGATGTACCTGCTGGGGCGTCTCCGGAAAACTGCAGACCCCGGCCCCAGTGCGTTCCCGCTGGGGGAAGGCGGCCGGTGGGCAGGCGTCGTCCCCTGGCCCTAGCTGGGATGCATTTCTAAGGTTAGGAGTCATTGGCTGAGGGTTTTGATTTAAGAAGCAAAACTGAATTCAGAATCCCCTCCTGTTGGAAATGTAGAACTAGAAACATGTACTGGGAAGATAATTAAGGTGGGGAGTTTGTCCCATCTGAGCAGGATCAAGGCTACATCACATCTGGCAAGACCCAACCGTGTTCAAAAGGCATCGTAGAACACTAAAAATATGCCTTGGCTAAGCTCCCAAGGGACTTGGACTGTAGGGGGAAATGCCAGTGAATACTTTTTAATTTCCCCAAGCCCGTTTGGCATCAGACCTCTGAGGCCTTTTACCTCTTCCACAGTGGCTTTTTGGCTCTATGTTTTACTCCTCTCTCTGCTCCCGATAGCAAATAAATGTCCTTGCTCCTAAAGAGAAGGGCCCCCTGCTGAAATATTGTGAGAGTTGTAATTTCCTAGAATTGTTCTGTATACATTTTTTGTTCAATGGCTCAGATACTTGGGATACTTGGTTGCTTTCTTACTTGGCTTTCTGCATGTTAGATTTGATTTACACCCCTGAACATAGCTGACTGATTCTGATTAAGACTGTTTTGGAAGAAAGACAGGGATCCCATTCTTCAGATCTAAGTTTTCTTCCTGCCAGAAACTTGTGCGAAGAAAGGAACCTAGACAGGATAATAGAAATAAAAAATTAAGCTGCTGTTTCGAAGCTGAGAGAAGCTTTCTATTCTGCAGGAATGAAGACTTAGGCCTTTGGGAAAGATGATGTGTTTTGGAAAAATCATCTTAGAAATTGAATTTGCAAATATATAAAGCCACATATCACAACTGGTAAAGGAAATATTCAAAGGCAGAGGTTTGAAGAAGCCAAACTTTCTAAAATAATAATATAAAAGATTCTTTGTACATAACCACTTGGAATCTTTGAGAGAAAATAAACTTCTCCTAAATATTCTCCTAAAATATTCTTTAATTCCGAGGTACTGTTGCCTGTGCAGAAGGAAAATCAGTGCAAAATGTGTGTTTTTTGCAATTCTTTTCTCCTTTTTCTTTAGGGGAGATTTGTGATATAGTAAGGCAGGTTTCCAAAAGCCTAGGCACAGTGGAGATTTGTTTAAGGAAAATGAAGGAGAAGGATTTCTTTCGAAATAGATCCCACCCACTCCTCCTCAGGTCCATGGGTCCTGCGAGCAGCTGGCACTTTTTCTTCTTGCTCCCTGGCAGCGCCACATTTAATGACCTGTAAGGAGCCTTGCAGGACAGCCAGCCTCACAGGTATTCCTGTTCCCCAGGGCTGGTGGAGGACTACACAGATGGAGATAGTAGCATCTCTGAAGGGACCAGTGGGAACAATAACTGAGAGGGCCTTCTGACTGCTAGGCACAGGGTCGGGTCTGGAACAGTGGCCCAGTCCCCTGGGGGGGAACCCTAAAAAGGGCCAGGCATGAGCATGTAGTGCACACCTGACATTCCAGGGAGTGGTGGCATTAGGAGTGAGGGACATGGCCTCGTTTGCAGAGCTAGGCTTGGCAGAGGGCACTGGTCCCTTTCTGTGGCATGTGATGTTTCTTGTGGCATGAGCCAATGTCAGTACTGGGTACTCAGAAATATCTGGGTGTTCCTTGAAGAAGGAGCCAGTTCTGCACAAGAAGGTGGAGGCTTGTGACCTCAGGTAAACACTCAGGCTGTTGACATCTGGGACATATAACTCATGCCTCCAAGTTCCAAGAGATTTCAGAGGCTGCTAGACCAGTTTGCCTTCCAGAGCTAAGCAAAGCTACCTCTGTGATTGAACATGTCTGTTGAATATTCGGTCAGGGTGGGCTAAATTAGCTGCAGTAAAAAAAGATCTCCCAACATGCCTGTGATTAACCCAAGGCAGTTCATCTCTCTCTTAGACCACCCTCCCCACGGGGGCAGAGAGGCTCAGCTCCCCACGGGCCCTCAGAGACCCAGGTTGACGGAAGCCTCGGCTGACCACACGCTCCCACCAGCACTCAGGCAGGAGAAGGAAATAGCATCAGTGTGCATGTGCTTGTCAAGATCCCATCAGGAATCGATAGAAACACTTCTTTAATGTTTTGTGGGCCAAAGCAATTGGTGTGGCTGCATCTGATTTCAAAGAGGACAGGGAGTGCAATATTGTTATTTCCACAGAGAGGAGGATATATGTGGAAAGACTTTACAGCTACCACAGGAGCTTTTCAGCTGCCCAGGCTGCTCCCTCTGCTGTTATCTTAGTCTTAAAGCAACTTTATTGAAGTATAACTGGCATAGCTGCACATGAAGTATTCACCTTGGAAATTTTTGGTGCATGTGTGCATCATAGCACATTGTGACCAAATGGCTTCAAGCCCCCTGCTGCTGCAATGTCACTGCTTCCAGGCCATTTCAGTGGGCAGAGGCATTTTCTATGATCGCATTTGATCTCCTTTGTCGCCTGTCAGGAATAACTTCTTGTGAGGTTATTTTAGGGGTTGTTTTTAGGGTTTATGGTACAGGTCTTTAACTTGCCACCCCCCACCTTCAAGTTACATGCTGTTTCACGTAGAACACCTCACAGCACTACCCCCGCGAGCCTCTGCAAGCTGTTGTGGATGCCCTACTTTTCTTATACACTCAATATTTTTCCTTTTAAAATATTTCAGTAAAATACATCAACTTTGCCACCTCAGTCCTTTGTAAGTATACTGTTCAGTGGCATTAAGTACATACACATTGTGCAACCGTCAGTCACCCACCTCCAGAGAGCTTTTCATCTTGCAAAACTGAAACCCAGTCCACATTAAATACTGACTCCCCTTTCCCCATCCCCACACCCCGGGCACCCACTACTTCCTGCCTCTATGAATCTGATACTGTAGATGCCACATATGAATAGAGTCAGACCACATGTGTCCTTTTGTGACTGACTGGCTTATTTCTTAGCAAAATATCCTCAGGGTTCATCCCTGTTGTAGCCTCTGTCAGAATGTCCTTTTTTAAGGCTGAATGACATTCCCCTGTATCTGTATCCTGTTCTTCCCAGCAAATTCCCTTTTAAACAGATATAAAACAGTAAGAACAAGGATTCTGTATTTGCCCACATACTTCCCGTATCTAGGAACCCTCTGTCCCTTGTGTAGACTCAGATTCCATGTGGTGTCATTTCCTTTTTTCCTGAAGGAATTCCTGTAGCAGATCTTGAAGTGCAGGTCTTCTGCTGATGAATTCTTTCAGGTTTCCTATATTTAAAAAAGTCTATTTCATTTCTGGTTTTGAACGATATTTTTGCTAAGTTTAGATTTCTAATTAACAGCTGTTTTTCTAATGCGATGTTTTCTGGCTTAGATTGTTGCTGATAAGGAGTCTGCTGCCCTTCCTCCCTTGGCGCTCTTTCCCTGCGGTGGTTCCGTCACACGTGTCAGGCCGCTTGGGTGTGTCTGGCAGCTACCCGATGTTCCACGCTTGTCTTGCCAGCCTTGTGTTTTTTTTCTTTCTGTGTTTCATTTTGGAACAATGTCAACTGCCATGTCTTTGAATGCACTAATGTTTTCTACAGTATTTAATTTGCCATTAGTCCCATCCTGCATGTCTTCCCTGTCAGACATTGTAATTTCATTTCTAGAAGCTCAATTTGTGTATAAATACATCATGTTCAGCACTTATTCTCAACCTCTTCTCTAGCTTTTTGAATATATGGAATATATCATCATAATGGCTTCAAGGCTGTTCTCTACTAATTTTATTATCTGAGTAATTTCTGGGGTGGTTTTTATTGACTAGGTTTTCTCCTTAAAGTGAGTGGTATTTTCTACTTTATACTCCCAAGTAGTTTTTGGTTGGATGCCAGACATTGAGATATTTACTTTGTGCAGGGATAATGATGTAACTGTGCCTCTCTCCCTCCTTCCCTCCCTCCCTCCCTCCATCCTTCTTTCCTTTGCAGTCGACCCTTGAATAACACGGGGTTAGGAGGGCCAATCTCCCACATAGTCAAACACCCACATATAATTTTTGATTCCCTAAAAACTTTGCTAGTAGCCTACTGCTGACCAGAAACCTTATCAGTAACATAAACAGTTGATTGGCACATATTTTGTATGTTATATGTATTATATACTATATTCTCACAACAAAATAAGCTAAAGCAAAGAAAATGTTTTTTTTTAAATTGTTGCCTATCTCCAGAAATTTTCTAGTATATTTATTGAAAGGAATCCACGTGTAAGTGGACCTGCAGAGTTCAAACCTGTGCTGTTCCAGTGTTGACTGTGTTTGTTCAGTGGCATTAAGTACATTCTGACTGCTAGGCACAGGGTCGGATCTGGAACAGTGGCCCAGTCCCCTGGGGGGGAACCCTAAAAAGGGCCAGGCATGAGAATGCAGTGCACACCTGACATTCCAGGGAGTGGTGGCATTAGGAGCGAAGGACATGGCCTCGTTTGCAGAGCTAGGCTTGGCAGAGGGCACTGGTCCCTTTCTGTGGCATGTGATGTTCCTTGTGGCATGAGCCAGTGTCAATACTGGGCACTCAGAAATATCTGGGTGTTCCTTGGAGAAGGAGCCAGTTCTGCACAAGAAGGTGGAGGCTTGTGACCCCAGGTAAACACTCAGGCTGTCTTCCATTAGTTCCCATGTGAAACACTTCTCTGCTTGTTTCTGCAGTTAGCAGCATTTATACTCAGGGATTGTTTATGAATCCTTTTAGTTGTGTTCTGTATTCAGCACAAGAGGACTTGTGTCCCTTCTTTGAATCATATGTTCTGGGATGCAGTTAGGTCACTTGGAAAGAGTTTGATGCTTTTCAAGTCATCTTCTTAAACTTTGCACTGAACCCAGAGCAACATTTTGCCACATGACTGAGGCTGAACTCTTCTGCCCTCTCAATCCAATATCCTTGAATTATGAGGTTTTCCACTGTGGTTTGTGAGACTGGGGGCTCTGAGGAGCCCTGTGTTTGTACAGAGGTTCACTACCTCTAATCTTTACAGGTGGTTCTTTACCTGGAACAGTGGCCCAGTCCCCTGTGAGGGTGGCTTCTCACTGCACATGCCTGCATTGATCAGTAGCTGCAAACTGGAAGGGGACCCTCCGTGAATCACAGGCCTGTGCCTGCACAGCCCTCCCCTTTCCTTACCTGGCTGCCCTCCGGCTCTCAGATCCCCAGCGCTGTCTCCCCAGCTCAGGGAGAGTGGCCTCTTTCTCCTGCCTCAGACGCACAGCTCGGTCTGTGGATCTCTTAATCCTCAGCACCTTGTTCTTTAGTTGATTTCAGCCAGTCAAGGGCTTTAAAGTACCATCAAAAGCTGATGCTTCCTACATTTCTCTCTTGACTAGGCTTCTAAATACAGTTGCTTACTTGATATCTCTGCTCAAGCACCTGTTAGGCTTCTTAATACTAACAGAATAAAAATCAAACATCCAAATTTCTCAACCAAACCTGTGCTTTCTGCAGTCTTCCCTACCTTACCTTAGTAAATGTCAGCTTGCTTAGGACGAAACCTTGGAGTCCTCACTGCCTCTTATGACTCTGTTTGGTTCACCAGGAAGTTCTGCTGGGTCTGGCTTCGAAACATCCAGAATCTAACCACTCTCAGTGTCCGTGCTGTTCCCCCTCGCCCCACGCCTGTCTCATGCCCCTCCTGCATTGTGCCCCTAACTAACCTTCCCAATTCTATCCTTGTTTCCCTGCAGTCTATTCTCAACATCTGTGTGAGTGAGCCTTATTAAACTGTAAATAAGGAAAAACAAAACTAGAAAGAACAGTTCTCCTTTAAGGCAGCTGGCGCTGGGGACAGTTAGAGGGCATTGGAATATCAGTGCTGGCCTGCCAGCCTCGGCTCAGAATCCTTCACCTCATTCACTCGCCATAGCCTCCAAGTCCCTGCGCATCTGCCAGCTGCTGACTTCTCCGCTTCCACGCTTTCCCTTATTGTCTTGGCTCTGTCACCTGGGCCTTCTTATGTCCTGAGCGCATCAAGCAGGCTTTGGCGGGAGGGCCTTTGTACTTGCTCTTCCCCCTGCCTGGAATGCTTTTATCCAGATGCATACATGGCTTGTGGTCCCACAGCCTTCATGTTCTCTATATGGCACCTCATCAGTGAGGACTTGCCTTTAGATGTACAAGAGCCACCCTTCTCCCAGCACTCCCGTGCACCCCGGCCTCGGGTTTCTCCCTTTCTGCATAGCATTCAATGCCGCCTAATACACATCCTGTTTATTACTGTCTTGCCTGCCCTTCCCCCAAGGTCATCAGCTCTGTAGGGAAGGGGTTGTATCCGGCTCATTCCTGCTTGTTTCCCTGTCTACAACAGCATGTGGCACAGAGTGAGCCCTCAATAATTAAATAGTTGTTGCATGAGTCAATGAGTGAGGTAAAACCCAGTAACTCTCATTTAATATGGATTTAGTGTAATGTCATGAACTTCATTTTAAACTTGCTGATTTACGGGAAAGTTCAACATTGATCTTTTATGCACTGTGCAGTTGTGGAAAGGCTGTAATGAAATCACTTAAAAGCATCATCTACTACGAGTATAGGTTATCGAGGACTTAATAACACTAGGTATCGCACTTTACATGTATTGTAAAACCTAATCCTTGCAACAAGCTCGTGAGGTACACATCATCCCACTGTTGTGATGGGGAGACAAAGGTCCAGATGGGTTACATTATTTTGCCCCAGTTCTGGCTAGTATGTATCAATGGGATTTTTCTCTAAAGCCAAGCTAAACCAGATACCCCTCTTTTTCAGTTACAATATGGAGGAGGGAAAAAAATGCAGTATAAAAGCATTCGACACAGAGATGTACTTTAAAAGGCATTGCATTGTTCAATGTAGGGGAACCTAAGGAAACAGTGCCCTTCTGAGCTAAGCCCTGTTCTGGCTGCTGTGCTTGTGAGCTTATGTAGGAGTATCTGTGCTGGGCCCTGCGTCTGGGAACCTGCTGCGTGCTTTATGTAACTTCCCCTGACCCTCACAGCACCTAAGGTTGGTTCTTCTCACCCTCCTTTTATACCTGAGGATGGCACCGAGCCGGGGATCTCACTGCCTTCTGCTGCTAAATAATCAGTATGGAGACAGGAGTGGGAAAGTGTGTGGGGAGAGAGCAAAAACTCCCGGAGAACGTCTCCTAGTCAGGCATAGCTCAGGCTAGCTTTAAGATAGAACGTGACTCTGCGGTTCACATCCTGCTCTCCAATACTAAACTGAAGTCTTGAAACTACTTACTGGGCTTGACAGACGCTTGTTTATCCGACAGGAGTAAGCTGTGATGCTCCGCGTAGCCATGCACACAGTTGAGTCAAGGCTAGAGTGGTGGGGATAGTTCCTAGTTCAGTGACATTGTGATTCCCCAGCTCCATCCTTTAACCTGAAAGTCACCGGCAAGTCTTCCATTAGTTCCCATGTGAGACACTTCTCTGCTTATTTCTGCAGTTAACAGCATTTATACTCAGGGATTGTTTGTGAATCCTTTTAGTTGTGTTCTGTATTCAGCACAAGAGGACTTGTGTCCCTTCTTTGAATCATATTTTACAGATCGAATGAACCATCTGCTGGAGGATACTAAAACACACGTGTTTTCTTGGCCATTTTCTGATGAAGGTACCGTAGAACCACCTTTATGTAACTTTTCTAATTCTTTTCCATGCCGTGTTTCAAATCAAATGGCCTATTTTTAGACGGTTTCTTGTTAAAAAGATTGCGAGATAAGTGTTTTTTTAAAAAAAATGTTATGTTCTCTCTGATCACCAAACATATTTAACCAGAATTGTTTTCTAGGGGCTGATTTTTTTACTTGACTCAGCTTTATTGAGATATAATATACATGCACCACAACTCATCAATTTTAAGTATATGATTCAATGAGTTCTGGCAAATCATACGCATTTGTGTAACAAACAGCCACAACCATCATGACATAGACCCTTTATGTCCACCGCCAAATTCTTTCACGCCCTTTTGTAGTCCTCTCCATGTCATCAAACCAAGCCAACCAGGGTCCGCTCACCTGATGTGCAGCAAAGCCAAGTGCTGACACTGGGGTGCAGTGGAAGGAAGTGGGTGTTTATTGCAGGGTGCTAAGCGAGAAGAATAGGTGCTAATGCTCAAGATCCCGAGCTCCCTGTTGGCTGACAGGCAAGGGTTTTTAAAGTCAGAGTCTGTGAAAGGGCTGCAGGGTGTGTGGTCGGCTGGTGCCTGTTGTCCTGATGGTCAACGGGGAGGGGACAGGGTTGTTTCATGAGTCCTTAGTCAGCAGGCATCACCCAGTGTGGGGTCTTGGTGCCTGTGGTTGGGAGGGGGCCATCTGGTGGGGGGTCTACATTCCTGTAAAACATCTCGGGGATTCACGAGTCAAAAGTCTCTCTCTGGTCTTGAGGGGTTCCTGAGAGTCCTGTGTCTGTTGAGTTTGCCCTACCTTGGTTCGCAAACTCCCATTTTCCTTAATCTTTAATTACACGGTCTAATTTCTGTACTCTGGGTATAACTGGGGGCCAAGGGTCTTCATCAAAAGGGCCCCCTGTGCAGGGACACCCCGGCTGACTTTAAAGCAGTTTTGATAGCAGGGTACCGGCTGACTTGTGGAAAAATAGGTGTTTCATGAGATTGGGCCGGGGATTTTCCCTCTGCAAACAGCACCCGCTGCATCCTCCTCCTGCAGATGGCTTGACAGCCTGTCCGGCTCCCTCTTTCAAACTCCGTCATTCGTGCTAGCCACCAGCTCTTCATTCGGTCCGACGGCAGCAACACCATCTCCACCCATCAGCTTGGTGCAATGCGCCTTGAGCAGAGGGCAGGTGAAATATAAGGGAAGGAGCTTGCTGGTTTATTGACACCCCTGTGACCCTACAGGAGGGCCACATTCAGGTCAGGGCTATTGGAACCTGCCTCCCTTTCCCTGAGGTGGTGTGGGACTAGGCCCACGGACGCGGAACAAAACCCGCCGATGTGTTCGCACCCTCCTGCCTTTCTCTGTTAGTGTGCCCGGGCTGCGGCCACGAGGTGCCACCCGCTGGGTCACTTAAGCCACAGAGCTGTCTTGTCTCCCAGTCCCAGAGGCCGGAAGCCAAGGAGACCCAGCTGCCTGAAGGGGCGCTTCCTCCTGAGGGCTGGGGGGCAAGTCCGTTCTCTCTCCCTGCTCCCTGTGGGGTGCTGGCACCTTTGGTGCTCCTATGGGCATCTCCCTGATGCCTGCTTTCGTCTTCAGATGGCGCTGTCCCTGTGTGCAGGTGTGGGTTCCCAGTTCCCCTCTTCATAAGGACACAGTCATATTGGATTAAGGCTCACCCCAAGGATTCCATCTGAATTACATCTGCAACTGATCCTATTTCCAAAGAAGGTCACTTTCTGAGGTATTGAGGGTTAGGACTCCAACACAGGAATTTGGGGGAGGATACAGTTCAACCCATAACAGTTTTTATCACCCGCAAATACCAAGAACACAGCACAACCACAATGCCTTGCCCCGGTGTCTGTCTTCTCAGAAATGAAGTGCAAACTCCGGCAGATTCTCAAACTGTAGAATGTAGGGGACCACCTGGGAGCCTTGATAGAAATGCAGAGGGTCTGATCCGCCGAGTCTGGGTCAGTGCCTGGGAATCCGTATTTTTAAACAAGTACCTCCGGCGTTTCTAGTGCAGGTGGTCCCTGCATCTGGAGAGCCCCTCGTGTGGGCTGGGGGGTTGCGTTGCTAACGGGCTCCTGAGCCTAGAGAAGCAGAGGCCGAGGAGCGCATCGCAGGCAGGCGTGGCAGGTCTTGGATCTGAGTGGTGCAGACATCTTGCTCCGAGGTAGGTGTTCCTCTGGTGCCTTGCTCAGATCCATGGGTGGGTTAGAAAACACAGGGACTGAGTTTCATACTTGTTGAGAGCTGTTCCTGCAGTCAGCCGGAGCTCTCTCTCCAGGGAAGCAGCCAGCCCTGGGCAGGCAAGGGCGCCTCCAGACGCTGGTGGGAGAGGCGGCTTTGAGCTGCCGCCCCCCAGGTGCACCCCCAGAACCCCCACGGCCATCCTCGCCTCCTTTCCCAGGGAGGAGGTTTCCCTCTGGGACTCCCCCTCCATCCTCTCTACTGGGATGTCGGATCTCCTTCTTAAGCACAATCTGGATTCTTTCTTCCTTTTTCTGTCCTAGGGGCCACAGTTCTGCAACAGTTAGGTATTAGCTGGGCAAGGAGTCTGAAGCCCTCTGGCCCCAGCAGGTTAACTCTCCGCAGGAAGAGGCTAAGTCCTCCTTCCTTTCCCCTAACCTCGCTCCTGCCCCTCCAGTGCCAGGCCCATGGTAAGTGCCTGCAAGTATCTGTGGACTGAATGAATGAAAGCATGCTGGTCTCACCTGCAAACAGACAGTAGAGGTGACCAGGGAGCCTGTACAGCGCTTCCTGCCATCTCGGATGAGCCCACGGTCTGTGTGAGGGCCGAGCCCCAGAATCCCAAGGAGCTCAGGGCAGGAGGCAGGCGCTGCTTTCCCTGAGGCTGCTCTGCACGTTTCCCTCCCAGCTGCCTTCTTGCCCAGCTTACAGAACGATTGCATTTGAGTGAAGAGGGGCCTTTCCTTACTCCTGACCTCAAGGGAACTGGAAACCTTGTTTGTGGGAGAAGTGGTTTTGGAGCCTGGGGGATTCTTTGGGAGCCAATATGCAATGGGGCTTGGAGTCAAGTCTGTGGGACACGGAGGGGTGGAGTGATGGGGTCAACGAGGAGGTGGTGGCCTCACGGAGTTCTGTTCTCAGGCAGCTCTGCCCAGAGCAGAGAACCGCCTTGGAGAGCTGAGGGATTCTGCCAGCCTCGCAGAGACCGCTGTCCACCCCGCTTCCTTTCCCATGCATGTCTCGCGTGTATCTGGGTCCAGCGGAGCTCCCAGCCCCTTTGTCACTCTGCTTACCGGGCATCCCCAAGGGCGCCCTGTTGAAGCCAGCACCAGGGGGCAGCTCCTTCTCCACTGCCGCCTACGTGGGAGGAGTGAGTTTTCAGGCTGCTCTGAAATCCGTCATTGGAATATCAGGAGATCCTTGAATACTTCGGGGCTGTCAAGTAGGAAGATCCCCATTTAAGAAATAGAGCTAACCGATCTTAAGTTTCCTCATCCGAAAACATAAAACCAATTACTGCACCAGGGGGAGGGTTCAGTGACCTATTGAATATGAAGTCTTAGAGCCTAGCAGGTGCTCAGTCTTCTCGCCGACTTGAGCTGTATGCCAGGATCATAAAACAATAGACAGCTGCACGGCAGATGCTTAAGAGGCTGGCTGTCGCAAAAGCACGTTGTTACTTTTACTTAAGTTCTTTTTCACCCATAGAAAGAGGAAAGAATAACTGGGGATGCAAATCATGTGGCTTGGGAGGTAAGGGTGATAGTTTTTATTAGGAATATTACTCAGTTCCCTTAAGCAATGTTGAAATATTGTATTGCACAAAATAATAGTGTTTTCACAGGGGCATGATCTGACCCAAGATGTATAGGAATCCATGGAGAAATACATCTCGTACGTGGGCATTATTGGGTCCCTCGCGCTGCGCTTAACCCAGTCCCGAAGAGGATCCTCTTCGGAAGCCAACTGCAAAGAGTCAAAACAATTCAGGTCAATTGTTAACTGAAAACAAAATTCTTCTCTTTGGAAAAAAAAAAAAGGAAATAGAGCTAAGAAACTTGCAGTACGTTTTTGCTGTTTTCCGGTCATGTAGGGCCCCCTGGCGGGCACCCTCGTGTACTCTCCGGGATGCTGGCTACACAGGCTGCACTGGGCACGAAGAGGGCTCCAGGACACCCCTAGCTATTCTCCGCTTCGACCCAGCAGGGAATCCCTATGGATTGTCTAGTAGGGAAGGATGTAATTTAGGAGCGTGCTGTGGGTTCATTTGCATTAAAAGATAAGCTGGACTCCTAACCCCTGGTGCCAGGGAATGTGACCTTATTTGAAAACAGGATCCTGGCAGATGTGATGAATTTAAGATAAGGTCATCAAGGGTGGGAGACACACAGGGAGGCAATGCAGAGATGCAGCTCCAAGCCAGGGACCGTGCAAGGCTGCAGCGGTACCAGGAGCCAGGAAAGCGGTGCGGGGCAGATTCGCCCTCCCAGCCTCCAGGAGCCACCTTCGTTTTGGACTTCCAGCCTCCGAGCTGTGATGTGATGAATTCCTACTGTGTTAAGCCACCCAGGTTGTCAGGGCAGCCCCAGCAAACTGATGCAGGAAGAGTCTGGGTCCCAGCTGCCATTCACTACCCGGGCTACCTTGAACTAATCACCTCAGTTTCCCTGGGACTCAGTTTTATTGAATATACAGCAGAAAATGCAAAAGTGCTTCCCTCTGCCAAGGCTCCTGTGAGGCTGACGTGATCCTGTATGCAATGCATTTTGTTAATTGTGGAGCACCGTGCAGACACCGTATTATTGTGTAAGGGAAGCTGGGGGGTGGCACAGCGTGGAGGCTAAGAGCTTGGATCTGAAGTCAGCATGCCTGGTCCGTGTATGGGAACACCACAAAGTAGAATATCATTAAAACTTGATTCCCAAATGAGCCATAGGCACTGATGCCCAGAAATGGCATTGGAATAAGTTAAAGGGATCTGTCATGTATTGCTCTGCAACAAATTGCCCCCAAAACTTAGTGTCTTAGAACAATAAACACAATTTCACAGAGTTTCTGTGGGTGAGGAATCTGGAGCAATTTAACTGGATGCCCTTGGTTTGGGGTTGCAGTCAAAAAGGGGCGCTGTGCTGCGCTCTCTGAAAATCTGCCTGGGGCGGGGGACCTGCTCCCATGGCGGGCCTCTGCGTGGCTGTGGGCAGCCTCAGCTCCTCACCAAGTGGACTTCCCTGTACGCCTGCTTGCATATTTTCTCGGGGCAGCGTCTCCTGATTCCTTCTGTCTCCTCGCCTGCCTGCCTCATGATGTTTTCCCCTCAGCAGCGGTTCTGGAGCTCTAGTGGGGCTGCAACTCACTCAGCTGTGAAGAAGACCAGGGAGCACCTCCAGTGAGGCACACACGCATTTACACAGACAAAATTTCACGAGGCTCCAAGGTTGGGCACTACTGGTCCACAGAGAGCCTGCAAAACACAGCCCCAGTTATGGAACTCCTGTTAAAGTCCTATGACCCTCGTTGCCAGTCAGATGAAGAGCTCTTTAAGCCGTCATAATCTGTGACCTCCACTCCCTATAGCAACAGCCACCACCACGTTAAATCGTATGGAGTGTCCTCTGGGTGCCAGGCACCTTTCATCGTCTTCCTGATTCTCAGACAGACCCTGCAGGGAGTGGGTTTTGTTATTCCCATTTTGGAGACAAGGAGCATCTTGCAGATGTGAAGAGAGGCACCAGGCACATCTTTCTAACCTTTTGCACCCCAGCACATGGCACAGGAGGGATTTGCAGTGGGTCTTTGTGGAGTGAGTGAGAGAATGAATGAATGAATGGCAGTTTCAGCAAGAATGCCCAACCAACATGGAAATTACCCAGCTTTCAATGAATGTGGCAGGGATTGCTGGCAGTCCCTGGGGCTTCGGCAGTTTCTACGGCATTAGCAGTGTGGTGTCACACCTGAAAATACTCTGGCATTTCCTATTCTTTAGGATTTGAGCATCCAAAAGAAAAAGCCCAGAGCCAATTGGTGCCTGGCTATGGTAGCTATTTGTCCCATTTTTAACAAAGAAGGAAACTGAGCCTCTGAAAATTGAGGTGTTCTTCCTGCTGTCCTATCATCTACTGCTCTGTTGAGTGGGGACCAGGATCCAGATGCTCTGAGCTCATGTTTTGGGTCCTTTTCCCAAAACATAGGGCATTTCATACAGGGAGAAGTGACCCTCTTGGAGGACTTTGGGGGTCCCATCCATCTTGGGAATCTTCCTGCATGTTAAGGGGAAAAGTGGATTTCAAGCAGTTGTTTTGGGTATGGCTCCATTTTAATAATTAAAAAATACACATGTATGTGAATACATGGACAAAATGGCAATAATTGTTGTCTCGAGGTGATAGGATTTTGAATTACTTTTATTCTATTTTTTAATTTATGTTTTCTTATTTTTCTATAGGGTGTGACTTAAAAAGCCTTCTGGTTGTCAAAAGCACAATGGTCTGCGGTAAGCTCTTACTGTAATTTGTCACTTTTCTTCCTCAACGCAGATAAAATCACACAAAATTTGCAATTAACATCGGAAGTGGTTTCCAGAGCAGCAAAAAGATGTCCAGGCATCTCTGGTGGGCACTGTTCCCCATGAAGGAGACTCCCCTCAAGGTCACATTTATAAAAGTTCAGGTCGATGAATTTGTTGGGTTGGATGCGTGTTGTTTAGATTATCATCTTCAAGGGACAGCAGGAAGCCCGCAGGTGGAAGACACGGGCCGTTTCCCAGGTGTTTTACTCAACAACTGAGTGAACCTCGCAATGAGGAAATTCTGTCCCTGTTTTCCTTGTTATTAGCTTGCTGGTGGATATTCTTTTGAAGAACTCAAATTGTGTTGTGTTGTCCATCAGAAAAAAAAAATCTGTTCTCAGGGAGCAGAAACAGGTGGGCTCTGCTGATTCCCTCATCTCTGTGTTGACAGTCTCACGTCTGTTTGGGCTGAGCAGTGGGGTAGATAATGGTTCTATTATCCAGGAAAGGGAAGGGTGTGGGAAGAGCATTTATCTATTGGGGTTTCCAATGACCTATTGCTGAGAAACAAGCCACCCCCAGCTTAGTGGCTTAAGACATCAGCAGTCGTGAATTCTCCTAACAAATCTGCAATATAGGTGGAGCTCAGTGGGGTCTCAGTGGGTTCAGGTGGTGTTAGTTGGGGTGGTCCAATGGTGACTGGAACCGCCTGAGGTCCATCATTCCCATGTGCACAGCCCGTGCTGGCCCTGGGTGGGGCCCCCAGCTGGGTGTACCAGCAGAACACCTACACTCCCCTCTTGGGTGGCTGTGTTCCTCAGAGCACGGTGGCCGATCTCCCAAAAGCAAGGTGGATGTGCACAGCACTTGATGCCCTAACCTCCTTTCTACTGTCCTCGATTGCTTGAAGGGGTCACAAAAGTCTGTCCAGGTTCAAGGGGAGGGAACAGGCCCAGCACTAGATGGGAGGGTATCCACGTCACATCATAGAGTGTACGGGATGGGAAATATCCGGGTGCCATCTTCAGGAAATGCCATTTGCCGCATGAAGGATGCAGAAATCAAGAGCTGTAAAGTGTAGGCAGGTGGATGTGTGACAAGGGAGGTTAGAGAGAAGTTCATTTTGGAGGCTTTAGTGCTGGTACTCAAAGCCGGAGAGGGGAAGAAAGAGATTACTCAGCATTGCGTTATTTACCGTTAATTGAGTGGCTATGTACTTAGCCCTGTAGGGGACAGTT